GTAGTGAGTTTGGTTTTCTGGTTTTGGTTTGCAGGCTTTTAAGACCCCAGTCACTACTCACCAAAGTAGGTTGAAGAACAATGTTTCCATGTAGTGTGTTATAAAAATGGACAAATCCTTGATACGTGCAACATGGTGAACCTCTAAGGCATTGGCTAAGTGAAAGTAGCCAGTCTCAAGGCTATATTCTGTGTGATGCACTTATATCACATTCCAGAAAGCACAAGACCCTAAGGACAGAGGACAGATGACTGGTTGCCAGGGTTGGGGTGAGCGGAGGCCTGGGCTGCAGGGGCAGCACAGGAAGCTCTGAGGAGCTGTTCTGTGTCCTGCCTGGGGTCACAGGGTTCTCATTGGCTGCTTTTCAGAAGCCAGTCCCCGGGCCTTCTTCCTGGCCCGTCTGAGTCTGGAAGCTCCACGGAAACCTGCTCAGCATCTTAGCGACACACGAGCCTCCGCTGACGGGTGGGAGCGTCGGCCAGGAGTCAAGCCTGGGCCTCTTGCATAGAAGGCAGCAGTTCTGCCACTGAACCACAGCGCCTGGGCCTGTCCGGCCTCCTCTCTTCCCTCAATTCCAAGTACATACGGTCCTCAGCCGAGGTCCCTGAGTGGCGCAAAGGGTTTGTGCTCACCTACTGACTGAAAGGGGCCGGACTTTGTCTCTCATGCTTTGCCTGCGTTGTCAGAAGGGACGAGTCCCTGGAGAAGATGCCACAGTCGGGAAAGGAGAGGGTCTGTGAATGAGGGGAAGGCCCTCAATGCGATGGATTGACATAGTGGCTGCAACAGTAGGCTTAGATATGGCAGTGATTGTGAGGACGGTGCAGGACCGGGAGGCGTTTGGTTCTGTTCTGCATGGTGTTGCTGTGAGGCGGAGCCGACTCGATGGCACCTAACAACAGCAGCACTAAGTGAATGGTTGGCAGCTCAGACCCACCCAGTGGCACCGTGCAAGCTAGGCCTGGTGATCGACCTCCGTGATGAGTCCAGGCAAGAGAACTCTGGAGCAGTCCTGCCCTGTAATGCGTGGGGTCACGTGGATCAAAATTGACTCGACAGCAGGGGGTTAAGGTCCCCAGCTGGGAAGTGCTGGGGACAGTGTTTAAAGGGAGGGGAGAGTGAAGGGGGCCGCAGGGCTTGGGCTTGGTTTTTTGTCTTGTGAAGTGGAGCTAATGTTTCCAGACTCCCAGGATTTGGGGACGCTCAGGTAGCCACATTAGCCTTCATAGAGGGTGTTCCAGTAAAACATCCTTTAGCATGGCATGCGAGGGGCAGGGGCCCCACACCCCCTTCCACACAGCGGGCTGGCTTGTTTTTGTTACCTTTTTGAGGTGTAACCCCATTGCAGCCTCGTCACCTGCAGCTCACGGCTACCTCGTGCATCACAGCAGGACCGTGGCCCACAGGGCTCCCAGCAGCTGACTTTTTCGGAAGCAGATCTCCAGGCCTTTCTTGGGAGGTACCCTGAGTGGATTCAAACTGCCGGCCTTTGCGGTTGGGAGTGTTAACTGTTTGCATTACTCAGGGACCCACATGGTTTTCTTTAATGGCTTTATTGAGACTTAAAGGGACATTGGTGGTGGGTCATTTAGTGGTAGAATTCTCACCTTCCATGAAGGAGACCTGGGTTCTGTTCCCGGCCAGGGCACCTCGTGCGTGGGCACCACCTGTCAGTCAGTGGAAGCTTGTGTGTTGCTAGGATACTACACAGGTTTCAGCACAGTTTCCAGACAAAGACAGATGAGGAAGAAAGGCCTGGTGATCACCTTTGGAAAATCAACCAGTGAAAACCCTGTGGGCCCTGATGGTCTGGGGAGGATGCAGGACTGGGCTGTGTTTTATTTTTCTTTTTTAAAATTTGTATTGTGATTTAGGTGAAAGTTTATAGAGCATACTTGTTTTTCATACATCAGTTCATACACATTTTGTTTCATGACATTGACTGCAATTCCCCACAACATAACAGCTCTCTTCCCACTTCGTCCCCATGGTCACCTCTTCCCTGGGTCCCTCCCTCCCATGCACTCACACCACCTCCATCTCCAGCTGTCTCCCTGTGCATACCCTGCCCTTCTGTTCTCCCACAATTGATCTCTCCAAGGAGTGTATCTACCTTATGTAGATATTCACTCCATACGCCTGTCTGTTGTTTGGCTGGAAGCCATGGGAATGAGTTCAGTTTCAGACCTGAAAGGTAACTAAGGGCCATAGTCTCAGGGGTCTC